TCTCCTTGCTAGTTCTCCTTACCAGATTACACCACAAAATTCACAAGTCGGTGATTCAAACTTGAGTGGTTTTTTCACTACAACACAAAAAACAGGCAAAAAGTCATCCTCAGTGCAGCTGGCTTTCTCAATTTCTTACCTGTAGCAAGTAAGACTAACACTTCCAAAACCACTTTCTGTGTTAAAAGAGTTTGTTTACCTGTTTTGATCACTCACCCTCCCCCCATCCTTACTGGTTATTTATCTCTTTCCCTAAAATACAACATCAAACTGAATAACCATAAAACATTTCTGAAAGGAAATTGTCACCTCAAGTCTAAACATACTATACTACTACAGAGAAGGATATACCAACAAATTTGTACTTGAATGAACAAACTTAGAGAAATTATAATTTCTTTACAGTGTATACTTTTTACCACTACTGTGCTGCCACATTGCTCCTTTATAATGTATTTAGACTAATGGCATTTATGGCAAGCAAATAATCTCAACAACACTGAACTTCCCATCAGAACGCACTGTCTAAAAATTCCACATTGCTCTTCCACAAATATTTCTGTCACTTTCTAAGCAATACATAGTAATACTTTTGTTTCCAAGAACACTAAATATATGTGTGTGTATATATAGATGTTCTCTACAACATGCACTGTTGAACTGTACCACTTTTTAAATTAATATCCTTTACATGTTTTTGTAAGAATCCAGTATACTTTTTTTTTTTTTTAGGAAAAACGCGCAAAGTTTTCAACTAAAAACATGTTGCAAATAATTGCCCAGAGCAAGATTTTACAGCCAAATTATAAAAGCCCTAAATCTCAAGTTTTATAATACCATCAGTGACAGAGTCTTAACTGTAGCAACGAGACAGGCGCCACTATAATGTTAACAGCCAGTATGTAAACATTAATGCGGCCTAAGGGGGAGCAGGGGGCAACCCCAGAAGAGTCCCTTCAGAACCGCCACAGAAATTTTAGGTGGCTGTAGTTAAACTTTCTCTGACTTAATTAAAAAAGGCAAGAGGGGAAAACAAAAAGTTAGCCAGGCAGTGAGACAATTAATTTCGTTAAACCTGGAATTGTATCCCCTCTTAAAGCTTTACAGTTCTTGAAACTTGTTAATACATTATTTCCCGAGCAAGAGTTCAATAAAATGAAATTTGCCATTTAGCTATTAGCAAAGTACAACATAAATGGTTTTGAAGCATCAGCACATTTACAAAACCCTTAAGAGAACATAATTCTTTTCCTAGAGAATAATCACAGAGGTCTTAAATACAGGCTCTCCCCTGTCTATGAGACTTCTTTGTCTTAGAAATCAGCAAGGTACAACTGATCTAATCAGATTTCCAGTAGCAGGCTGGCTTCAGCCAAGCCTCAAATCACATTTCAACAGCTTCATTCACAACAGTTTTAACAAGTATATTCAGTTACTTCCTTGCTTTCTAACACCCTCGGCACTTCTACAACAAGGTAGTGCCATGTCTCTTTCAGTCCAAGCCACGTATCTCCTCCTTACTATATGCTCAATTCTTATAATAACATTTAAGAGATGTTGAAAGAAACAACACCTGACTGTAAATCTGAATTACAATCAGAGGCCGAAAGACCTAAACAAAATACTTTTCTTTCAAAACTACAAATACAATTTCTTCTTATCAGCAGTTGGGAACAACACCTATAGGGGTTAACAAAGATTATATGGTTAAACAACTTCATACAAAGGTTAATAAAGAGAATGAAAAAATTTCCTGAGGAAGTTTAATGAAATTAATGTATCCAAATCATATTTCTATTTTTGAGGAGACTAACACAGCTTTTAATGTCTAACACTACAAAAGTGAATTCTATGACAAAACAATTGCACATTTTTCTTTAACAGAAGATGTAAAAAGGTCAAACTGTAAAGAATATTATATTCTTTAAAGTATACTTGTGCAAGTGCACCTGTTAGAAGCTTACTTTTTATCATATAGCTATAGTTATTATGACAATATATACATATGGAGTAACTAAAACACTGACAATTAATCAAATGAAATTAAAAAGCCATATATTCTATGAATTGTATTTATTTCCACAGGAAAAGGGAGTACTTCCCTTACTTACAAGAACATTTTCTTTGCATGTGAAAACACATAACAAACCAGTAACAATATTTTTGCTTCATTTTTCAATATCTTTGCCAGAGCCACAAATACAGAGAAGAAAAATAACATGCCAGGACTAATGCTAAACGTGATTAAAAAGTTATTTACTGTATGAGATAATGAGGTAATGTAAATCAACTGAAATTTAACTCTGTGTCCTCTTCACTCTACTCAGAACATCAAACATATACCAACTATGCAGGTAACAAGTGTCAGATTGACATTTATAAATCCTGCTTCTTTCTAAGCCTAACAAGCAACCTAACCCAACAGGAGCTTGACAGCTCCAGAAAAACACAAAAATTCTGGGTTCCTTCTACTGGAGTAAGGGATGAAAGGCACAGAACTGCAAACACATAATCTCCATGTTTATATATCTACATCCAATTCTTATCAAAGAAATAATTTTTATCAAAACATTACTTAATCATAATAATGTGACCAGTTCTCACATAACATTTATGGATACAGATACAAAAAAGTTAATGTGTTTTTATTCCTTGGCCCTTTCCACAGATCCTAATAAACTAGTTTTCATAGACAGGATAACTATATTTTATAGTCACCAAATAGAATACACATGGACATATTAACGTGCCATTTTATCTTTATAGAACTGTAACAGCAAAACATAATGCAGATCATTTCCCAAGTCTATCTGAAATTTCTATGCAATGGCAGCTCCTCTCCTCATTGCCACTGTCATGCAAATTTGCAATTATATATTACACAGATACAAACTATAATCAAACTAGTTCTGTAACACACTAAAAAACGCGTTCCTCCTCAGGGTTATAATGCATCTAGCCAAGCTATCCATCTCTTTTTCCCATTCTTTCATAAGAATTATAAAATGTACAAGGCTGGCACACATGAACAGCAACACTTGAAAGAAAATCTGATTTACAAGCCTGCTGTTCCCAAGTTCAGGACTGACAGGGATGCTGTGCAAGCAAATGCCAGTGTGGTACTTAAAATAGGGTATCCACTTGGGAAGAGATTAAGTGATTAAGTTCAATGTTGCTGCCAGCTGCTAGTAGCAATTTGAAGGGCTAGAGATATGTTTATGAACTCAAAACAGGACTTTTTCCCACCTCCCTGTATTTTCCCTACAATCTGTTCTAAGCTACTTAGAAGATAACTGAAAATGTCCCTGTGTCTCCATGTGAAATGTCAGTTTCCTATGGGACTACAAGTCTATTAAAATTTGATTTTGCTAGTAACAGAAGCTAACAGGCTAACAGATGTAAAATCAGAAAGTCATATTTCACTGTCAGCAGCAGGATTTTGCACATTATACATAGTTGCCATCTGAGAACATACAAAACAACTTCATATTTAAAAAAAAAAAAATCTAAACTTTCAAATACCTTTTGATGTCTTTAACATTTTTTTCTTTAAGAACAATGACCCCACATTTTCATACATGTGTTATACCGTAATACCAACACTGCCTTTTTGCCTTTAACTGATGCAATATAATGTGGAGTTGTAGGCAAAATACCTTAGGTCACACATTATGAATTTGGACAGAAAGAAGAATAACCCTCCAGGAACTAAGTATTCTAGCATTATTGATTGCATACATGCTGTACAAATCTACTTCTGTCATTTTCATGTACCTCTCTTTTCTATTTCTTTCAGATTTCAGATGCTAAATACAAGCCTGTTAACATGTCAAAGCTTTCATTTCACATTGCCACTAAGACTTTTAGAAAAACCCATTTGATATAAAATTTGTTTTCCTACTCTTTTTGCTACACTTAACAAGCTCAACTTTGCAATTTTCTCATAGCTGTTCCACTGTTATGCAAAAACATTGTACAGGTTTGGGCTCATAAGCAGTTACAACTGTTAACTCACAAATACTCTAAAAGCTACAAGAAGTTCATAGATGGACAACCAGCCTGATTTCTTCTTCTTTAATGTTATCTAGAAATATTAGAAGTCTGGCTCGGGAAAAGCCCCACATTGTAACAGGTCTGTAGGAAAAGTTAAGCCAGTGTTGTCACTGATCAAAGCGAAAAATGCATTTGCTCACATGACAAAATGAAACACTGATGCCAAGGGCAGCGCTGGAGTCTGTGTAACTAGACAAAGTTCTACTGAAATGTATCCAACCTCTTAGGAAGTAATTACAGTAAGATGAAATCAGTCAGCTAGAGAGGACATCAAAAAGATAATTAACTTATTTGGTAATTTGATTATGATTATTTTCTCTATAGTTACATTAAAGAAAGTGATTTGGAAGTGCTTCCACATTTCCACAACCTCTTACACATCCTCAGTCTTCAAAAACAATCGCTAATGCATTCTTTCAAAAGGACAGAACTTTGACATACCTAAAACTTGGCTTGAGATATGTTTACTCCGTGATTGAATAATTTGGATTATTTCAGCTCACCCACAGTTTTTTCCACAACATCCTAGCAGTCCTCTACCTTAACTAATCTCACATTAAACTCAAGTCATCAGCAACTTTCATCAGCATTCTTCTTCTCTATGACTAACTGCAAATATTATTCAAATTATATTTTAACAAACAAACAAGAAACAGTTTCATTAGGAAACCCTAAGCAACTGAGATTCATCAGGCAATCCTGAGCAAACCAATTACATGTTAAAGAACAAAAACAAACCATAAACAGGAAACTGAATGTTTGTAAAGTGTTTTTCTCACTGTTGCTTTCTAGATTGAAATATAAGGTTCCAAAAGACACTGCTTCAAATGAACTATATTTCCAGCATTCTGAAACAAAACTACTGAATTGTCAAACGTCGCTCAACAAATGACCACAACAAGAAATATTACTGTATAGAACTGAAAATCCATAAACACAAACCCTACCTGCTTTTCCTTTCGATGAGAATAGCCATGTAAGAAGCTGGTAAAGCAGCACCAAAGCCAGGAGACCAAAAGTAGAATTTTCCAAGTATCTTCCTGAAAAAGTAACATATATGTAACATGTACACATATTACATGCAAATGGAACATTCAGGTACAACACCATATTTCACCTTTATCATAAAATTACAAATGATTTATTAATTTTGTCCTTTTACATTAATCTGTACTTACTAATAAACACTAATAATTATATTTTTACACTTGGATAATTCTCAGAGGACTTCCCCAAGTGTTTCATAAACATTAAATACCTGAAATACTTCATAAATGTATTCATTTCATTTAAATAACTAGTTTTCTTCCAGGAAAGCATGAAAGCTTCTGAAAAGTTGTAGATATTAATTACAGAAAAATCTTCTAAAAAGAACTTATATCTGCTTATCTCTCTGCTACTGGTCCAAATACATCTTCAGGAAGACGTGCTTTGTGGAATGCAGGAATGCAATCAGGTGAGGCAGAAATCAAATCAAATAATTATAATATACATCACACTCGAAAGAGATAATCCACTGATGCTAAAAATAGGAAAACACACATTTACAGTAAGCCAAGGAATCAATCTCTACATTACAAGTGGAAGCAACAGTGACTTCCCAGTCCTATTAAGCTGGGAAAGCTCTCATTTTTTGCAATTAGATCTGGATTTCATTCAGAGTCCCCACAATTTCAACTACTGAAATTCCTAAAACAATACAGTTGAAAAAAAAATAGTTACACAAATGACAGTATCTTTCTATAGATAAAGAAAATCTTTCTACAAATTGGTCACTGTTAAAGGAGGAAAATCAAACTGCATGTCTGACACAATGTCACCAACCACATTTGGTCTGCTCAGGAGACCTGCACCTTCAAACTAATTCAGGCTGATCACAGAAGCAAACAATAGTCAGACAGTCATGACCTTTGGTAGCGTGATGATAAATATACTTCAACTATATCAATGCTGTTCAGCTGATAACCACTATTGGTGGAAAAACAGTGCTACAATGGAGTCTACCCTTCCAAAAACACAGCAAACAAAATAAACAAACAAAATGGAAAACACAAACAAGGTAGAAAAGGACATTTTCTTAGATAAAATTTCATGTTGGCAACACAGAAGAGAAAACAAAGATAATTAATCAACACTACCTGATTAGTTCACTTTCATTCTTCCTGTAAAAGGCATAAGCAGCCTCATTTCATACTTCTCCAGCAAAAATAACATTACCGGCAAGCAATGCCAGCTTATGTTTGTAAGTGAAAAGAGAGCCAGTGTATCAGCAGCAAGTGATGTAATGGCAATTACACACACTGCTCATTCCCACGGCTGCAAAAGGATAATTTCTCAGGATGACAATGCCAAATGCTGCAGGACCTAAAGTTCATTATTAGAACTCTCTCGGAAAGTAATTACTGTATGAAGTTACAGAGAAGTCATTTTAAACATCTTAATAAGTATGAACACATCTTACCAGACACACCTGTTAAGTAACAGAACAAATGTCTTTTCTGTGGGAAAGAAACAAGAATTTGTTCTTTTGGCACGGTTTAGAATCCCTTTACAAATCCTTACAAGTATGGGTTGACAAGATTTCGGAAACAGTAGCATATTTTACATAATAAAGCCTAGTGGAAATCAAAATGTCCAGTCAGTAAGTGAAACAACTAAACGACTCCTAAAGTTAATGAAAATGAGTTTTTGTTATTATTTGCAGTTATTTTCACATGGGGTATGGACAGAAATTGGAATGAGAACTATGAGTTTTTTCACCTAATTCCTCAATGAACAAGCTGTACATGGACAAATGTAATTACTCTAGTAATTACTCTAGTTGCTAGACTAAGAGATCCATGTCTTCATGAGGTTTTGCATTTATTAGAACAAAACATCTAAAAATCACACCTTTCATTTAACAGATGTAATCCTTGTCAGCACTGGAGCCTAGCACTTCCGTCTGAAGCCCAGACAGATGTAGTCTTCTGGATCTCACCAGCAGAAGAGATTACAAGCCCCAGCTGGCCTGTCACACATCCGTAACAGAGAACATCACCCTCACTGCTCTGCCAAAGAACAGGCTGTTCATAGGCCCTAGTTCACTTCAGCAAAAAAACACGAGGAAAAAACAGTCAGGCACATTAGCTTGGCAATCCCTTATAGAACAAGAACATCTATTCACAGCCTAAATCAGTGCTGATACTGGATTCAGATGTTTCTGAAATTCTGCCTACCTGTGAAATGCTGAGAATATTAAACAATCCCTGAAATTATTTTAATTGCATTTCCTTGCCTGAAATTGTACATCCTTGCAGCAGTTTCAATTTTGGTGGTTTTCCCTTGTTGAAAAGAAGCAAATAGTGCAGGAGTATCAATAAGATATATTAGCACAAGCCGGAAGTCTCAGTCCCAATTACATTTCATACTTAGATCTTTTAATTGTTACTGGATGACTAGTACACACAAGGACTAGAGATTCACTGGGACTTTGGTAAAGGTAAGAACAGATCAAGTAGTTATTTGATCCAGGACACCCTATATGCCTACCAGTACACCTTCTCCTTGGTGCTACAAAAGAAGGAAACAGGCAGCTCTCCTCAAATCAGGAATTGTGCAGGTAAATATGAGTTAACATGAGCAGCTAGAAACCTCTATTGCTTTGGTCTAGAACTCCAGGAGGGTAAGAGCAGTCAACTGCACAGGCCTTGCTGGACAACTTTGCTTCTGAGTTACTGCTGCTCCTGCTATAATACACCTTTCAACCAAAGAAAGATATAAAATCTGCAGCATGTATCCTACTATACAAATCTATCAGATCCAAGTTCTCGTTACTATGTAGGACCAGATTTAGAGCATCTAGGTCTCCACAGTCTCAGACAATCTCCTTCCATGGTTGCAAATCAGATCCAGAAAGACTCAGGACAGTTATGCAGAAAGAGAGGTACTGGTGTTTCTTTGATGGATTAAAACATACAATACCAAATTGCATTCTGGCCTGGAAAATCACTTACAATTACTTTTATTCTCAGGGGCTACTGAAAATACACTGTACCACACAGCAATACATTCAAGGAATAATACGACTTCAAAACAAAATATTAAAAATATATATTTTTTTTTTAAATTCATAAATTGGTTAAAAAAAAAAAAGCAAGATTATATGGCTTAAGCTGCATGACAATGTTGATACTAAGTAATTCCAAGTGAATGACTTGTCAACATTATGAGCTTAGGAGAAACTCTTAAAAAGAAAAAGGCATACATTACTCAATTTGTAAAGGTGTCATGTATTTATTCAGCTTCCTGGCATGTTCTCATTTTCTCTCCAAATAACACTTACTCACTCCTTGACCATATTCAAGTACTGAAGTGACTTGTTCAAATTAGCCACACATGATGACCCTCAAACACCTGATTAATAGCAGCTAGTTTAAAGCCCATCCTTGAGTGAGGACAGAGCTGCTTTTACTCTTCCCACAGCATTACTTAGTACTTTTCTCTATAAAATTTCATAAATGACTTTAATCAACACATATTTCAGAAATGGGTGAGTGTAGATTTCTGTAACCTAAATAATCTCATTCAATCTCTCATATTAGTCTTCATCCCCTTTTCCAGATTCTCTAGGTATATCCAAAACAAAGGACACAACAGGAACTTCACTAGCAACCTCTTCCTATTACAAAAATCAATCATTTATCCCTTGCTTTGTTTCACATATATTAACTATTTGTTAATCATTTACTAATTCCTGGAAAACAGAGAACCCTTCTTCTTGAAGAGTCCTAGCAAGAAATCTTGTCACAGTCACCTGGGAATTCATGTAAAATGCACCAGGTGAATCATCACGAGGTACATATTTATTCTTCCAAGCATACTAGTAAATTTGGAAAGTATGACTTTTCTAATAGTCATGTTATCCATTGTTTTTTCAAATGTCATTTAATAGCTCTTACATATCCTAGTCATTTACTTGCTGAGGCTCTGAATTTTATTATGGTCAGAACAGCTGCAAAATACTCATTATAATTGGACATTCATGTACTTCAAAACAGGCACAATTCCTATGGCTGCCTAAACACTTTGTTCTTTTGCCTCTAGTAATGATTCCAGTTCACCAGTTTCAATCAGCTCCCTAGCCAACAACTCTAGTTGCATGTCCCGCAATTGTAGGTGGTGGGCACTGTGCAGAGACCCTGCCAGCAAGGATTCTGCCACAGCTGACAACTCTTCATGGGAATCTCTCTGCAACAGAAAAAACATGTACAGCTCCTGAGGTGCTGGTGGGTTACTGTGCTGCACAACTGTAAGAATGGCAGGTTAAACATTTGCAGGTATCCCTTGTCACATTAAATTGTTAGAATTATCCTCTGCATGGCTCTGGCCTAGGTCAACCCAAACAGTGCTTCAAGGGAACTTGGAGGGCACTTGGACTAAGTAGCATTTCCATTACTCAGTCTGCATCTGGCCCTGGGAGGTCAGAACAGCTTTAGACACCTGTGCTCCATATAGGTGAAAGTGATGCCATACCAACTGCCTCCACTGGAAGACACTCATCTCTTACCTACTTGCACAGACACAGTCATAGATCTGCTGGATGGCTGATATCCTCTCTAAGGGGAATAGCTGAAAACCATGAAACTTAAAACCATACTAGCTTAATTTAGAGAGTAACATTTAACTACAGCACTGAAGTAAGGCACTGCAGATTTACAGGCAAATACATGACAGCATAAGGAAAAGCACTCTATAGCTCAGAAGAGTAAAGATAAATCAGTATTAATACAACCTAGATTGCTAGAAAACATATTCTTTAGAACTCATTACTTATATATTCACTTTGAACTTTGCAAATGATTTACTTAAAAAGCATTCCACAGCTCCTCAGGCAGCTCCTCCTCTTCTTAGTCTTCTCCTTCAGCTTTGAAGCAAAGTTTAGAGACCTCTAAACAGATTTAGAATTAGGGCATAATGGGTTTGATTATCTTTTAGTGGGGCTATTGAGTGTGCTGCCAGTTAACTTTCAAAAATTCATAGCTATTGCAGGCTTTACATGTCTATGTGTAACATCTCTTACACTAAATGCATTTAGATATAGGACATTATCATATTCATAAAACAGGAAAGCTTCATCCTGAAGTAACTATCCTGACAGTTACTTGCAATATACACTGGAAACAGCTCAGGATACAGAAGTGCCATTTATACTCATTTTTCAGAGCAAGTCTGTATCTTACAGAACCCCAGAAGCTGTGCTGGGATTTCCTTCATTTATGACCACAATAAGGCAAGTACAAACTTGGATGGCTGGATAAAGTTTAGGATAATTAAAAGTTATCACAGTCCCTGCATCAGGAAAATAGAAATCAATATCAAGTTACATCAATTATTTCTAGGAAAGAAAGATTAGGCTTTCTTAGGTTCCCTTTAGCATCTATTTGAATTTCCTGCAACAATGTATTTTGAATTAGTAAAACAAAGAAAAAGAAGCAAAGTGGATAGATTGTTTACTAATTTAAAAAATTACAAAAATTAGAAGAAAATAATTTTTTAAAAAAGCAGAGTTTCATATTCAGTTGGTAAGAGCAGAAATCAAGATGATGGCACAGCTGTAGCTTTTTTTCTGCAAAACATTACAAACAAGCCTACTACAAAAAGAGACAAATTATTATTTAAATTGAAAAGTTGCACAAAAATAGCTTTACTATTACGTTTCATTTTTAGGACAGTATACCAACCTTAGAATGCAAAAGCAAGCAATATACAAGGTCCCATTTGCCGTCAGAAAGGAAGTTGACTGCAAGATCTCAGGTAGAAGTTTGTACAAATAATAGTCAAGTTTTCGTTTCCTGAGAATAGCTGCAATCTGAGGAAGGAAGAGGGAAAAAAAAAGGGAGGACAAAGTTTAATTCAGTTAGGTTCTTTTTTACACACTGTAAAGAAAAATAAGAAAGGAAAATGAGACATGCCCACTTAAGTAGTAAAACAAAGCCTCTTAAATTTGCTGGGTTTATGAAAAAGACCACAAAGATTTCCTTTGAACTTGTTCCAGCCGTTACAACATTTATACCAGGAAATACATCAAGCAATCCTAAATAGGAAGTATAGGAGGAATTTTATTACCTTGTTACCATTGGCCATAATTGTCAGAAACATTGTCTGCCAGATATCAAAACTTCTAAGATGTGGTAAATTTACACCGAGTTTTATCTTCAAGACAATTGGACTATCACATAATTATGGTCAGTCATTATCACTAAAGTAATCCAAATACAGGCCTTACACAGTGCCTATGAAGTAATGATGTGTTTTTAAATCTTTTCTACTCCAATTAACCCACTGCAAGTCCTCCAAAAAATGTTTGCCATTTGCTGGGAAGAACAACAAATTCCTGAGAAATTTTACTGAAATTATATGTTATCTAAAAAACTGCCTATAGCAGAAAACTGGATCAATCTAAAAAATAAACATTCTTTTTGGCCAGTTTAATGTATGTCTCATGTATTATAAAGAATATCTATTTAATGACTCAAACACTGAAGGTCCTCAAACCCTTTTTTTTCTACAGAAATTCCACAAATAGCTAATGTGGAGGTGTAGCAAACCAGGCTCATCTCAGAGGTACCCAGGGGTAAGACCAGAGGCAACAGACAGTTCAAATATGGAATACTCAGATTAGACCTGAAGAAGAAAAATTTTCATTTGAGGGTGGCTTAATACTGGAGCGGGTTGCCCAGAGTGATTGTGGACTCTCCATCACTTTAATCTTTTTAAAGGAGATCCGTTAAACTTAATGAGAAAAGTCCCCAAGCAACCTCATCTAACTGGCCTTGCTTTGACCACAGGTCAAAGGGTCCCTTAAACCTGTGTGCTTCTGTGACTCCATGAAAGTATAATTTGGGTCCACCATGAGACAGATTCTATTGTTTTTTCATTTTAATAGCATTATTATCTTTATCTGCACTGATCTCCCAGGGAGTCTCTAAACTGGCATGAGTTTTCAGTCAATGCTTAGAGAAGTTCCAAACAGAGCAAGCTACATACTGCTGGTGTTGATGAGAACAGACGTCTTGTCAAATTGGTACTGCCAACCTCTCTCAAAGTCTTGGTTGTAAGAGAGAGCTATTCTTCTGAAACACTGTCCACTCATAGTGAATAGCAAGCAGATGCCATCAAAACATCAAATCAGAGATGAGGCCAGGGATTCTGGTAAAACTAACTAAAGAAAAGTTCTGCCAAAATCTGTTTCCAAAATGAAGCTTGAACTAAGGATTAAGAAAAAATACATGCACGAACAGACTTCTGAAAACAGATTTACACGTTACTTAATCAAGTGTCAAGACTGCTTAAAGCATAATGGATTAGGCAATAATGCAATCCAGATAATCTATCTGTTGAAGGAAAGTCTTAATATAGTCTAAACGCTGGATAACTAGTTGCTGTCTCCTCAGCTATTTCTAGCATGTTGTATGAAGGTCACAACACAGGAGCAAAATAACATTTTTTTTTTCATTTTAAGAACATAGCCTTTATACCTAAGTGTGAAGCCTTGCTTCCTCAGACCAAAGTGTCAGAAGTGCAGCACAAAAATACTGGTATCTTATATATTAATGTTAAATCAAAGTAAAAAATTTACTTCTGTAATGTCTCCAACAAGTTTTAGATTAATGTAAATTTCTGGTTTCCCTTCTCTTTACTATCCTACTCCCAAGTGAAAAATAGCAAAGAACCAGAAACAACAACACACAAACCATTCAAAAGAAAATTGTTCACGATAACTGAAAGAGATGTATGCGGGAGAGCAATAGAGCTTAATGCACACCCACTAAAACAAAAAGCTTATAATTTTCTAAGGGCTTTATAGACACCAACTAAGCTAAGTGTTGTGTACAGCTGAAAACAGGCAGGAGCAGACTATGGAGTTCCTCTCCTCCACCACCAATGGTGCAATTACATGGAAAATATACCAGAGATACTTCCTGGCACCACTTTGCTCTCCCTATCAGTTTAACACATTTCAGAAAAGTATTATTAAAGTTGAGGTTGTAAAGACAGAAAGATTATAAAATCTGACGTCACACCGCAGCGGTTCATGGCTCCCACTGGGATACACTTCACTCGAGCAAGCTGGGAGGACATTGTGATGAAAATTAAACTCTTACAAAAATGCACTGCTCAGGCTTAGCAGTGGACATCAGTAGCAGACAGCATGGAAGGAGAAGGCATCAGGACATCCAGTAGGTACTTCCTTGGCAAACTATTAATGTCCACGAAGATGCTAACAGATGTAGGAGGTTTGTAAGTAACCTGAGACTCCCTGCAGAGTCAGACAGACAGAAAAGAATGCCTCATTGACCTTACGGTCTTGGCTCTCCAGCTACAAAAGGAGCACAGGAATCCTAGGACACCTTCATTTAGAAACCTCAGGGTGGTCTCTATCAGGATCTTAGTGTTGATAGTTGTAAAAGTTAGTTTGAGCTGTTACTCCCTATGAGAATGAAGGACTGTAATTCTGACATAACTCAACCAAACAGTTTACTACTCTGTATCCGGGAATGGCCCAATACCTCCCATTGCTCTTTTCACCCTCTCCATAATTTCTTAGTTTCACTCTTCTCTTTTTGAGATGCAGCAACAATAATTTTACAGAATAAAATTCTTCAGTACTTAAAAATTATTGTAGATGTTCAGCTTTAGTAAAACAGCACAGCCACAAGTGTCTGTTGCTCAATGAAACACAGACACAATGCTGCCTCCCCTCAATCTCCCACTGCCTGTGCTGCCTCATCTCACCTCCTAACCCAGCCAATCCGCCATAATCTGGGGAACAGAAGCAACACACTTCTCACATTACTCTGAGACCCTCATTTCAGTGGAGAGAAAAGCAAAATCCATGTCCAGTGCTGCGTCTCTCTCTACTTTATTTCTGAAGCCATGGTGCTTCTCCTGGCTATTACCCTTTACAAGAAGAAGACTGCCTAAAAGAACGTCTGCAACCAGGGAGAGCAGACTCTACTGAATGCCAGTGGATTCAGAAACAGGTTTCACTTTATTCGTGACTTCTCCAGGCAGACCACAGCAATGCAGCCTTACCCACCTCAGGGTGAAGAATGCTCCAGCACCTGCCCTGACTAACAGCGGCTTAGGAATACAGATCTGCTGCAACTTCCTATTCTGGCTTTCCACAAAATACTGAGTCACTCTTAAAATCTCCTATGCTTGCCAATGACACTAAAGTAACAATTAATGACACTTTCTCAAGCAGATTTGCTCTCTGCAGGTAAAGAATGTCCAGGTTTGAAAGACTTACATAATGTTAAAGATTTAGCTATTTATTGTTCAAGAAGAATTCCCACCCTATTAAGAATTAGGCATTTGCATCAGGGTAGAGTATAATCCTCCTTGTAACTTAATTTGCAAGAATTCCAAAACACCTGGAAGGTAATAAAGAAAACCCACATTTCAAAAACTAAAATTGATTGTTTTCCTTTCATCACAGTTTCAGTTTTCTTACACTATGATGCACTAAAGAGAAACTTTAAGCAGTAGTACAGCCTGCAGAAGCAGTCTTCATTTGGCCTATGTAAGCAGTAAACAGACTTGAGTACTTATTATCCACAGTCCATACCAGCAGCTGAGCTGTTTGCCCATAACAGCTTTTGCAGCCCTTCCTGCTACTTAAATTCATTTTCTTCTATCTCAAAACCAGCAGAACTCAAGCTATCAGAGCTCTAGAAACAGGATAGGGAGTCCAGCTTTGCTTTTTTACCTTCTCATCTTCGAATACAGACAGCTAATAAATCCTGTCTTTCCCAATCTCCCATAAGGAACAATTTTCTAGATGCTCAACACTCAACAACTACGAGCAAAGGGGAATTTAAAACAAATCATGCACTGCCACAGGGCAGATGGCCTAAGAATGTCCAAAGTTTTTAGAACTTTCTAATTTTCTTTTATTTACATCCACAAGTTCTAGCTCTTGGCCCCCCTTCAGTCCAGTAGTCTGCAGAAAATGCAGATACACTGCAGAAGAAGAAACAAATGAATTGCAGTTAGAGGAAAGAAAACGATCAACAGGGGCACAAAGGATTAATCTGAAAGAATCCTAGATATGTCATCATTAAACACATAAAGAGCAGAGATCAAAAAAGGTAACAGAGAAAGCTGAAAGTAACATACTGAATTCCTAAAAAGATCAGTTATGTTAAAATATTAAGAAATAGTCAGAAAAATTTCAAGTTGCATTGTTAAACTATATAATCTGTGTATCACTGGGTATTATGAGGGTAAGAGTAGGTGCGTCTGGACAAAATGCAAGTAGATCACAACACTGCAGTTCTCAGACAACCAAAATTTTACAGCTGCAGTCAGACAAGACAAATACATTACTCTTTAATAACATATAAAAGTGAGAAATTGATTTGATAAACTATATCTTGTGTGACATCTATGCCCTACACACGCAGGAGGAAGGAGCAGGGGATTAAATACCTGCCAGCCTGACTTCCAGAGAAAATATTTCTGGCCCCAAACATGATTAGTTTGGTACTAAGAATGTGGTCATGCAAAGCCTCTTGAATAAAAAAAGTGAAGCATGCAGGAAAGAAAATTTTCTTTCCACACCTGAAGACTGATCCAGCACTGCCTGGTGTCCCATTACCACCCGTGGGAAAGCTGAAAACAGAAAAACTCTTGACTTATTTTTAAGAAAAGCAACTCTTTTCCTTGCTTCTGCACACAACTTGAAACCCAAAATTCAACTATGCTTTATGCAGGCCTGGCAGTGTCAGGAGGCTTTCGGAGGCAACACCACACCCTCATTCCTTATAAACACAGGGAAAGAACAGCAAGATTAACACACGACAG